GACTTTTCAGTCTCCATAATTGCATGAGCCAACACCTTTTAATAAATCTCTTATATGTGTCTCCTGTTAGTTCTGTTTCTCTGTTGAATGCTAATACAAGTAGCTTTGTAGTAAGTTTTAAAATCGGGAAGTGTGAGTTATCCAACTTTGTTCCTCTTTTTAAATTATTTTGCCCTGGCTGGTTTGGCTCAGTGGATAGAACATTGGCCTGAGAACTGAAGGGTCCCCAGTTTGATTCCCGTGAAGGGCACGCACCTCGGTTGCAGGCTCCATCCTGGCCCTAGTTGGGGCGCATGCAAGAGGCAACCAATCCATGTGTCTCTCTCATATTGATGTTTCTCTCTGTGTGTCTCTCCCACTCCCTTCCACTCTCTCTAAAAATCAATGAAAAAATATCCTCAGGTGAGGATTACCAAAAAAATATTGTTTTAGCTACCTGGGACTCCTTATATTTCACATGAATTTGAGAATCAGCTTTTCCATGTCTGCAAAAAAGGTTGTTGGAATTTTGATAGGCATTGCACTGAATCTGTAGATTGCTTTGGGTGGTATTGGCATCTTAACAATACTAAGTTTTTAAATCCATGAACACAGGATGTCTTTCCATTTATTAAGGTCCTCTTTAATTCCTTCAGCACTGTTTTTTTGGTGTTCAATGTACAAGTCTTTCAGTTTCTTGGTTAATTTATTCTTTGGCATTTTATTATTTTTGATGCTGTTGTAAATGGAATTGTTTTCTCAATTTCCCTGTTAGCGTGTTCTGTTGCTAGTGTATGGGAACAAAAGTGATTTTCTGTGTTGATCTTGTACGAAGGTGATTGGGAAGAGCAGTGGGTCAGGTCTCAAAGGCTCTTAGTTGGATCAATACCTTACTTGGATCTTCCAGTATCAGGGTCTTGATTTTCTCATTTGATAAATAGAGCTAAATGGAGATTTTCTCATTTGATAAATGCCTTGCTTATCTCAGTGGACTGTCCACAGGGACAAAGGAAGCAGGACTTAATTTTTAAAAAATATACTTTCATTGACTTTAGACAGGAAAGGAGAGGGAGAGAGAGAGAGATAGAAACATCAATGATGAGAGAGAATCATTGATCGGCTGCCTCCTGCACGCTCCCTACTGGGGATCGAGTCTATAACCCAGGCATGTGCCCTTAGCCGGGATTGAACCTGGGAACCTTCAGTCTGCAGGCCGATGCTCTATCCACTGAGCCAAACCGGTGAGGGAAGGATTTAATTTTCATATGTTTGTTTACTTAACTCTGAGACGAAGCCAGGTATTCTCAGGGGGAACAGGAAACAGTGGGAGGGGGCACCTTTTGAAGATTTATGGGGGCCTATGTTGATTGTCTCCATGTTTGGGTAGGGAGAGGGAGCTACGGGCATTTAGTAGACGAGAACTAAGGATGCCAGATGTTCTACAACTGTGGGGTGGCACCAAACAACAAACAACAAACTCCCACAACCCGCAAGACTCTCAGAGTCCTTCCAGACCTGCGTTCAGGTGTGGCACCTCGCTCCTCACGACCCAGGTCCATTTTATACATCAGCAAAGCCTCACTTACATCTCTCTTTCCTTCTTTGTATCTCATTTGTATTTCATTCATGACTTTAACTTAGGGCCTAGAACCGCGATGACGAACCTATGACATGTGTGTCAGAGGTGCACTCGAACTCATTTTTTTTGGTGGATTTTTCTTTGTTAAGTGGCATTTAAATATGTAAAATAAATATCAAAAATACAAATCTTTTTTTTTTTACTATGGTTGCAAGTATCAAAAAATGTCTATATGTGACACGGCACCAGAGTTAAGCTAGGGTTTTTCAAAATGCTGACACGCCAAGCTCAAAAGTTTCGCCATCACTGGCCTAGAACAATGACTGGAATTCAATGTGTTACCTAAACAAATAGGTTAAATGCCTATTTTCCTATTGGGCTGTTTATATGTATTTTTTATTCATTGGCAGAAAGTTTGTCTATTAGGGCTATATCAGTCAGGGCCAAATCAGCAGACAAGCCATACCAGTAACTTAAATAGAGAAAAGTAAAGATAAAGAATGTTTAACTCATAAAAGGTGGTTAACTACTAGAAGGGTATAAGAAGACTCTAAGGCAGGGATCAGCAAACTTTTTCTGTAAAGGACCAGGTAGCAGATATTTTAGACTTTGTGTAATACCAGGCACGAGCAAATATATTGCATAAGTAATTATGGAACAACACAGAAATCGAATGTTCACTTTTGTATTGATAAAATTAAAAATAGAATAATTGAGTATACGCTTTGAAATTCGGTTCCTTATTAAGCAGAAGGGGATCCATTTTGTTGGGATAACATTTTGCTCAGTTGGAGTTCAAATGCATAGACCATTCTTAGAGGAAGGGCAGAGATATTTGGCCTGCAGGCTGAACAGGCGAGGGACAGACGGTTGGAAGAGGGGCTCCCCACGTGGCGGATTCAGGCCGCTGCAGAGAGCGTGGATGCCGCGGGTGACACAGCCCCCCACGGACAAAGAAACGTGTCAGAGGCCGTGGGAGGCAGCTGGATCGCTCACACTCACAGAGGCACAGGCATGCTGCCCCCGGAAACGGGCAATTGTGGAAAAAGCAGTCCCGCCTCCTGCTCTCAGTGTTAGATGTCCCTCCAGCGCCCTCTACTGGCAGACTAACATCAAGCCAACGGGCAAAGGAGATGAGCCAGGGTCCGATTTCACGAAGCTGAGCGAGAAGTGGCTTGCAGGTAAGAGGCAATAATTTGATAAGTGACACAAGAGGTACTCATATAGAGTGTTCCAAATATTTCCCCAATATGTAGCTTGCCTTTAAAAGTATTTCCTTATTGAAAAGGTAATAAATTGTCTCATGTAGGAGAAAATTTAGAATAGACACAAGTGTACACTGCCCAGCTGGTGTGGCTCAGCTATTGAGTGTGGACCCACGAACTAAGAGGTGGTGCTGGGATTCCAGGTTAAGGCACATGCCCAGGTTTCGACCTTGATCCCTAGTAGGGGGTGTGCAGGAGGCAGTGATATTTCTCTCTCTCTACCCCTTTCCCTTCCTCTCTGAAATCAATAAAAATATTTTAAAAAACGTTTTGTCTATTTAGGGCCGCCATAACCAAATACCACAGACTCGGGGGTAGGGGAG